CATAAGGCATCTGATTGGTCCAAGAGAGGAAATGAAAATCCTAGTGTTGGGGAATTCTCCAAGGACACAGGGTGGCCAGATCACACACAGTGAAGATCACTCTGTGAAACATCTAGTGCCACACTATGAGCAGACAGCTAAAGTCACCAGGCACAAGGAGCAAGAAAGGGAGCTGGGGAAAAGCTCAGGGGAGAGGGTGCGCCTAGCGTTCAGAGGCCCGGGTCCATCAACACAAGAAAAGAGGAAGAGGCTGAGAGTGCACACGTATATTCTAGTACTCTGGACACCAAGGAAGGGTTGTGAGTCCAGTGCTGACCTGGCACACAGAGAGTGCAAAGCCTACCTAAGCTGTGTAGACTGCCCCACTAGACCAAATCTTAATATACTTGGACACATGCAATATTGGGTTTGTGAAGGAACATACAGTTTCAAGGAGTAAACATTCAGAAAACAAAAGCACTCCCCGCCCCCTTGGCTTTTCCAAACAGGGTTTCTCTGTGTAATAGCCCTGACTGCTCCTGAACTCATTCTGTGGACCAGGCTGGCCTGAAACTCACAGCCATCCACCTGCCTCTGCCTCCCCAGTGCTGGGATTAAAGGTGCGCATCACCACCACCTGCTAGCAGAATTTTTTTTCATCAGAAATTTTTAACTAGACAAGTTTTGTTGTGGCTGCTGTCCCGTTTCTTGAGGTAGGATCTTCCTGTGCAGCCTGGCTGGCCTAGAACTTACCATTCAGGCCAGGCTGACCCAACACTTCAGCAAGTCCTCATGCTTCTGCCTCCTAAGTGTGCTGAGATTCCAGGTGTGTCTATGCCTACGTAGAAAAGATATTTTCTATCTTTTGCTCAGAAGTTAAAAATGGTGGCTTATATGCATCACAAGTGTTTTAATGTATATTTTGGCATAATATATGCGCTGCATTGAATAGCTGTAGTGTTCTGGCAAAGCAATCATTTTCAGATGAACATGTTCTTTTCTTTACATTTCAGAAGCAGAACTGCAGGTACGGTTCAGTGGGAGAGCGCTTGCTGTGCATGCTCCGAGACTTGGGCTCCATTCCTAATACTACAATGAGGAACTGCAAAGTCACAGAGGATAAAAATTAAATATTGAGAGATGGTGGGGGTGAAAATGATAAAGATACAAAACTCATTTGAAATTCACTAAGTAAATGTTAAGAATACATAAAATCAATTAGATGACTGACTAGCAAAGCCCAAATAATAAACACTCCAGAAGGACAAAGAAAGTAGAGAGGGGAGTTAGGGAGCAGCAGTGGTAGAGGACTTGCCTGGCAAGTGTAGAACCCTGGGCAGGAGCAAGAATGCGAAAGTAGGGGCTGGAGAGGTGGCTCAGAGGTTAAGAGCACTGACTGCTCTTCCAGGGGACCTAGGTTCAGTTCCCAGCACCCACATGGTAATTAACTGTAACTCCAAAATCTGACACCCTCACACAGACATGCATGCAGGCAAAATACCAATGCATATAAAATGAAAATTAATAAATTATTTAAAAAAGACTCTGCAGGGGAACCTAACCATCTGTCCTTATGCTTCACAGAGAAAAGTGGGAAGATGCTGAGGGGCAATGTGTCAAGAAGGTGGCTCCAACACTGATAAGAAGGAAGGGTCAAGGAAGGTCAACAAGTTAAAAAGAAAATGGGGCTGGAGAGGTGGCTCAGAGGTTAAGAGCACTGACTGTTCTTCCAAAGGTCCTGAGTTCAATTCCCAGCAACCACATGGTGGCTCACAACCATCTGTACGGAGATCTGGTGCCCTGCTCTGGCGTGCGGGCATACATCGAGGCAGAATGTTGTATGCATAATAAATAAATAAATCTTAAAAAAAAATGAAAGAAGCCACTTCATGCCTAGCACAGTGTGTGAAAATATGTCGGGGACCGGCCTGCACATAAATCATTTTTTGTACCAGAGTGGAGGTGTGGAAGTAAAAATACAACTCACACAACTATATTTATATCATTGTGGAATTTCAAAATTCTGCTGACAAAAAGAGTACCTTTCGAATGGAGTAGGACTACGCAGAGAAGGTGAAGTCATCCCGTCTACATAGCAAGACCCTATCTCAAAACATAAAAGGGACGGGCAAGACCAGTCAGCAGGTGGAGGCCCTTACCATCAAGTCCCATAGGGACCAATCAAACACAAAGCAATATGTAAACTGCCTGTAGACACACAACTGCATCTACACATAAGAAAGTATAAGAGCGGGACAGTGGTGGTGCACGCCTTTAATCCCAGCGTTCGGGAGGCAGAGGCAGGCGCATCTCTATGAGTTCGAGGCCAGCCTGGTCTATAAGAGCTAGTTCCAAAACAGGCACCAAAAAAAAAAAAAGTATAAGAAACAGCCAAGTATGGAGGTACCTGCCTGTGATAACAGTTTACCAGAAGGCTGAAGCAGATTGAGCGTTTAAGGCCAATGTAAAGAGTATATAGAATTATGGGCCAATCTGAGCTATATAGCAAGACCTCAGCCAAGCATAGTGGTGCATGCCTTTAATCCCAGCACTCAGGATCTCTGGGTTCAAGGCCAGTCTGGTCTACAAAGCAAGTTCTAGGACAGCCAGGGCTACATAGAGAAACCCTGTCTTGAAAAACAAATGGAAAAGTCCTGAAACCGTTTCTTAAAGCAGACTAAAAAGAAATCCAAAAAAAAAAATACATACAGACTGTTCCTTTCAAGGACCGTGAAGAACTGACTCATGAAAGTTGTCCTCTGACCTCTTCATGTGTGCATGCACGTGGGCACACACACAAAAAGCATAATGAAAAACATGTGTTTGTGTGTGTACACATGCACCACCCGTGGGCTCCAGGGATCAAACTCAGGTTGTCATGCTTGGCCGCAAGCCATTACCTGCTGAGCCATCTCGCTGGCCCTGCCCAGCATTTTCACATGGGTTCTATGTAGCAAACTCAGGTGTTACCTTGCAAGGCAAGCATTTTATCAGCGAGCTATCTCCCCAGCCCTGGAGTATGAGTTTTTAATCTATTCTTCTTTGCATTTTTTTCTTGTCTTTTCAATTTTTCACACTAAAAGCTCAAGTGGGCAGGGGGATTTTAAGGAAACTGGGACAGAGGTAGGAACAGGGAGTCTGAGGTCGGGAGTGTGGTAGGGAAAGGTGGAGGCAGAGCTGGTCGGGGAGGGTTCTCAGGACAGCAGGAAGCCCAAACTGGCACCTCTTCAGCCTGAAGATGTTTCCTTAGGAATCAGATTCAAGACTTTTAAACGGAGTGGTGGTCACTGTTGTTCAGCGTGACTTCCTACAGAAATCCTGTAAGGTTTCCTGTTTGCTTGGGTGTCACATTCCTGGGCAGCCAGCTGCACCTGAGTCTGCAGGCAGGTGCGGGGGTGGGGGTGGGGTGGAGGGGAATTGAGTTAGTGCTGCCCTCTAGTGCTCACAATCTGTCACTTCAACGGGTTTCTCAGCTTTTCGAAGACTCAGATTGAACTCAATACTCTATCCTATACACAAGCAACCCTTCTAAGGAAAGAAGAAAGAGAGGAAAAACTAATAACTAATAGTTAAATGTTCGTGGATAAGAAATGAAGAAAACCATAGCAATTGCTTATTTCAGAAAATACCAAACAACACTGATAAGTATTGTTTTAAATGCTGTCGACGATTTTTTAAGCCATACTTCTGTACAGAGCTGGAATGGCAAGAATGAACACGACATTCAAGTGCAGAGGATGGGGTGGCCTGAGGAAAACACAAAACGGGGAATCTGGGGATGAACTGCTACAGAGCTGGGAGAGCCCGGGCTTCAGGATCAGAAATCCCGGGCCAGTGTCTGTGCCTTTCCAGCTGTGCGGTTGTGTGCAGGTTACCTTGCCTTGCTTTGCTGAGCCTGTTTCCATGAGAAGAGCACCTGTGGTCGGATCCCTGTCACACTGAGACCAGAAGGCCCTGCCTGAATACCAGCAGTACCAGTAGCTGAAGGGTTTGCAGCAGCCCAGTAAGTCTTTTGTGCTTCAGTGCCTTGAGGGGCCTAACAGAACAAAAACAGAGGTTTTTGAGAGCCAAATCCTGCGGAGGGCTCAGAAGAGTGTCTAGCTAATATTTGGTGTTAAGTGTCAGTGATATAACACGTCTACAAGCTACCAAGGATAAAATCAACATGTCCTTTCTTTTCTCCCTGAAATCTGGCTCTGATGAAAATCCTGGTGTCCCCATCACACGTCGCTGAAGGAGATTCTCCTGAAACACAGTTCAGCACTCAGTGACTCTCAGGTCTGTGGGTCGCACTGCCTTTCCTCCACAGCCCTTCTTGCTGTAAAGTGTAGTCTTTTTTTTTTTTTTTTAATAGCATACAATATTCTGTCTGTGTGTATGTCTGCAGGCCAGAAGAGGGCACCAGACCTCATTATAGATGGTTGTGAGCCACCATGTGGTTGCCGGGAATTGAACTCAGGACCTTTGGAAGAACAGGCAATGCTCTTAACCACTGAGCCATCTCTCCAGCCCCCAAGTGTAGTCTCTTGAATGCTGTTCCCAATCTCCTGCTGACGTGTTGAAGAGGCAAAACTAAGCTTCCCTTGACTCTGACTCCCTTTGATTGCCCAGAAAGCAAGCTGTGAACCCAAATGCACCGACCTAACGTCTGCTAGAAGGCAGAGCATGCCATTGGCTGCAAAGGTGGAACCTGGGATCGGCAAGAGCTGTGCCCATCCGTACACCACCAGGGAAACACTCACTTCCCAGGGCCACTCCAAGGCCCGTTGCATGTCTGTCCTTGACTCTCTTGTTCGGTGCTTAAGGACACAGCTGTGGCCACAGAGGATCTTTTGTCCATTTAGAGCCAAGGAGCTGGAGAGGGCAGCCAGCACAATAAGCCGAATCAGCCCAACATCTGACTCAATCATAACCCCATCAGTTCAAGCTCTCCACTGGTCAAAAAACCTTAGGAACACATAGAAGATCCGGACCAGGTACATAGGCTAGAGATGGGGCTGGGCAGAGAAACACACATGAACTTATACAAAAATGTTTATTTACTGTTTATATTTCTTTTTCTCATACCGATCCCCTGACCTGGAACCCAGGCAGCTTCTAAGACATCCTGCTGTCTGGTTCTTGAAGGTGGGGCACTATGAACACAACTAGACATTGTAAAAAAGTGGGGTGTCCCCCTTCCCAGCAGAGACAGAAGTCAGAAGAAGCTTTTGTGCCTAGCTCAAGCTATAGAAACTTCCCAACATAGCCCCTTAAGTCAGAGGGTCCATCCCCACTGGATGGACATGCGGAAGAAAGAACATGTCTCTCAGAGGCCTGGAGTGGAACCAGTCTCTCAGCAAGAGACTGAGCTCAGTAGTAAAGTGTGTGTGTGTCTGTGTGTGTGTGTGTGTCTGTGTGTGTGTACGCGTGCACACGCGCTGCAGTTTTAGGATGTTAAGCTGGAAGAGGTTAGTCTGGTGGGAAGGAGATGGAATGTGGAAGAGAGTTCAGGAAAACAGAGGATGTGTCTGGGGTAGGGCCACCTGTTGAGATCAGCTATAGCCCTTACGGGAGTGGTCATCACAACTACCCGGAAGAGGAGGAAGAGAGTCCTGTCCCCACTTAGACAAAAGACAAATGACACATCAAACACTTTTGGTCTAAGAGTGCCAGAAAAGGGCACTCACTGGCACAGAAAAGGGCAGCCAGCCCTCATCTGCCAGACATGGGTTTGGTTGCCTCACTGACCACCATAGCCCACTCTGGGTCATGTCACTCCTGCCTCTGCCATTCCTGCCTCCGCATAGCTCTGCTGGAGACTGACACTGCCAGCCAGACTCTAGTCGGGGCAGAGACAAGGGGGGTCCTACTCCTGACAGGAGACCTAGCAATGGCTATATTCAGCGTGTTCCCACAGTCCGGTGCTTTGAGGCAGACACACAGAACTCTTCTAGCCGGCACGAGGCCCACTGACTCTGTCAGATGAGACCCCAGAGTGACTCTGTCAGATGAGACCCCAGAGGTGTGCTCTCAGGAAGAAGAGCCACAGAAAAGGGTGCATGCATCTTTCCCATCCCAGGACCTGCCCTGCAGGCTCAGAAGTCTGAGTCTGCATCCAGGAGCTCAGCCTCCATTAGGTTAGTGCGGGAATGAATGGATCCCAGCCCCTGGAGGCGGCCCTGAGCCCAGACCCTAGGGGCTGAGGCACCAGGGAGAAATGGGTCTTGATGGGGACTAGGCTCTGGACAGAAGGGGTTGGAGACAAGAGTCCAGGCTCCCTGTCGGCAGGGCTCCCCTGTTCCCCAGGCATTTGCAGCCACCAGGCACTTCTGCCGGGGCAGCTGAGGCAGCCGAGGAACTGCACTGGGGGCAGGGGCAGGGGCAGGGGCAGGGTGGTGAAGCTCAGGAGCTGGCCCCAGTGGGCACACCTCCTTCTTCCTCTTCCTCCGCTTCTTCTTCCGGCCCAGGCGCTTCTCTAGCTCTGGGGAGATCTCGGCCTCCACCAGCCACAGGTTGGCTTGTTCCTCTGGTGGCACTGTCGGGAGGGAAAAACACAGTGTGGGACTTTAACTCTGTCCTTGCCACCCTTCCCCCACCAGAACCCCTATTCCTGAGCTCTGGGACCGATCACTCTAGGCTCCCCAAACCTTGACACCCCTTCAGATCCTCTGTGCCCCCTGCTCCTTCCTGCAGAAGCTAGAGCCCTCATACCTGGAGTTGCCACAGGGGTAACAGACACATCCTGGGGCAGTATGGCTCCTCTCCGAGCCACCATTTTGGTGACATGCTGGGCCCAGGCAGAGGAGACATCAGCTGAAGGTTCATTGAGGTCAAAAGCCAAACCCGCTTTGGAAATGAAAGGAAAGTGGACAGTGAGTCCTCCTTTCTGTAACACGTCCATCTTCTCAGCCAGTCCCTCCCCCTGCCGCCGGCAAAGTCCACCCTGTAACCAGTAGTCGCTGCCCATTCAAAACCGGAGGGGAGCAGCCTCTGGTCCCCAAAAGGCGTAACCTGAGCCCGCAAGTCCAGAACCAGCACCCTGACTTACACTGGCCCAGAAAAGCCACTGGAGATGGCAGACAAGAAGGGGGAGGGGATTCGACTCCTCAGAGAACCGCAGTAGCAGTGAACAGGCCGGGAGAAGAAAGAAATGGGGGAGGACCCATGTTGGGGAGATGGGAGCAGACTGGAAGTGAGTGGAGTGCCTTATTCCTCAGTTTGCCAGGCAGCCCACGTGTCCTGGGTGGGACAGGTCTGGTACTGTGGCGCGGTTAAGTGTCTCAGCGAGAAAGGAGACTGAGGCTCACCCACGGGCCCGTCATGGGAGACAGTGTGCATGCTGAAGGAGAGCTCCTGGCCCGGGTTCTGCAGCAGCTCACGCCGCTTAGAGAAAGCCTTGGCTATCATCTTGCTCTTCTTGATCCTCTTGGGCTCATCGTCGCTCTGCCCAGTCAGCCTGAGAACAGAAAGGGCGGGGCTGGAACATGGAGGAGCAGCTGCTTTCTTTCAAATCTACAGAAAGGCCTGGGATTCTTGGTCTAAGGACCTGCAGTCGTGAGGACCCTGACAGCCTGAGGTCTTCACTGTAACCAAGCACGCCTAGAATGCAGGGCTCCCGGTGGGCCCTCCTTGCAGAACACTGGCTCTCACACTCAGCTCAGGCCCAAGCTGTGTGAGGACAGGAGTGGTCACTAGAGGGCACTGGTGAGCTGCTAAGAATTTGGCCACACAGCTCTGGGGGTGCTTTGGCAAACAGCTGCCCCAGCTGTGTTTTGGATTAGACAAGGCCTCAAGTGAGGCCATGGGGCTGAGGGTGAGACAGGAAGGACAAGGCCAGAGGGCGGCTGACCCCACCTGCACCAGGTGCGCCTCCAGATGAGCAGTGTGGCCTTGGTCCAGACCCAGGTGCTCATGGCAATGCCAGTGCCAAACATGGCAAACAGATTGATCTTCTCCACCAGGAGGCTGGGTCGATTCTTGATCTCACAGTCCGGAATGGGCTTCTTGGTAGGCAACCCAATGGTCACATTGGCCTGGCACCTGTGGTGATTGAGGGTCAACAGCTGAGGCTATCTGAATCCAATAAGAAGGCACCCAAACAGAAGTCCATTTAGGAAAGAGCTGAGCCCCAGGGAGATTCTCCCGGTGTTCCCTGGCCAGAGGTATTGTCTATATGTCTGTGTGTGTCAGTGCTGGGACGGAACCCAGGCTGTAAGCATGCTAGACTCTACCACTGAACTAAACCTCTTGCACCCTGCCCTGTCTGTGACTTTTTTCGGGATCGTCTAGGGAGGTTTTATGAACTACTGGTGTCTGAGCCTCAGATCAAACCTCTGGGACAGGAGCCCAGCATCACTTGGGTTACGCCTTCCCAGGCTGGAAGGTGAAAAGTCCAAGAATGACCACCAGCGAATGGGATGCTGCCTTGTAGCTGGAGCTCCAATTCTGCCACCCCACAACCGCGCTCAGGGCCCCTCACTCACAGCACGTAGTCCCGGAAGCTACGCTCCCACTCAGCCTGGTTGAAGAAGTCATAGAAGTGGCAGCTGAAGGTGATGAGGACAAAGCCAAAAGCCAGGAAGCCAAAAATGCCTGTGGGATTCAGGGGCAGGGTCCGTTACCAGAGCAGACACCACTGTGGGAGTGTCATCTATCAATCTGTTGAGTTCATTGGTTAAGTAATAAAGGAACTGCTTGGCCCTCATAGGTTAGAACATAGGTGGGAGGAGGAAACAGAACAGAACGCTGGGAGGAAGAGGAAGTGAGCTCAGACCCGACAGCTCTGCTCTCTGGGGCAGAGACGCCAGGCTCCGCTCTCCCGGGTAGCTCTGACCCAGGATGGACATAGGCTAGAATCTTCCCGGTAAGTGCACCTAGAGGTGCTACACAGATGATTAGAAATGGGCTAAATTAATATGTGAGAATTAGCCTAGAAGAGGCTAGATAGAAATGGGCCAAGCAGTGTTTAAATGAATACAGTTTGTGTGTTGTTATTTCGGGGCATAAGCTAGCCAGGCGACCGGGGCGCTGGGGACGCAGCCCCGCCGCTCATATTACAACAAGACACTGTAGCAGCAGGATACTTTCTTAACTCTCCCTGGTTTTCTGCATCCTGGAGGCCCCAGGAGCACTGAGCTGACCAAAGTCCCCCGGGCACTACTCACCCAGGCGCAGCATGGTCTCGTTGATCTTGCTGGCAGCCTTCTCACTCAGAAGCCCAGGGTGCTTGCTCTTGATGGAGAACAGAGTCATGACCCCTGAGCAGAAAGACAGCTCAGGCATTAGCTGCGGAGAAATGACCCCTGAGCAGAAAGACAGCTCAGGCATTAGCCGGAGAGAAGCCGCTCTCCTGGGAGGGTTGGGGAGGGAGGGCCCATGGCAGTGGAGTCCTACGACTAGTTATGCCCAGCCTGACTGAAACCTTGGGGAACCAGAGAATGAGAGAACAGCTGTTGGCAGTAGGCTATGGGCTGGGGTAACTGTGGCAGAGCCTAGAAAACAGCCAAGGACAGAGAGAGGAAACCAGAGGAAAGCTGTTCTGATGGAAACCATCAACAACAGAAATACATTGTGTGACAGACATAAAACCTCAAGTTTTCTAGAAGCCACGTGAAAAAAGAAACTATAATTTTACTATATTTTATAAACCAAATATATCTAAAATAGAACCGCTTCTACGTTCCACATGACAAAGTATTAGTTATATAATTTGTATTTTTTCCCCTTTTTTTCATGTTAAGTCTCGAATGCACTGTTTTTTACATTCAAAAAGCACCCCAGTTTGGCCTCATTTCAACATCCATGGCTACTGGCTACCATATGAGATGGCGCAGACACGCAGCATACAGCAGAGGCTTGGACACTCCCCCAGAAAGGCAGGGAAGAAGGCTGAACAGAAGGCTGGCAGTTCAGTGGGAAGAAACCCAAACTGACAAAGAAAACCAAGAGAAATGAGCTAGAAAGCAAGGCAAATCATGGGGTAACAGATTGAGATGGGGACGTTAGGGACCAGTAAATCTGTACATGTTGTGAAAACTGTTTGTGTATGTGAGGGGATGAAAAGACTTGGAAACCGAGCTCCAAACACGACAGTGTATTTCAGGTTACTGTGAGCACACATAAGCAATGGTCCCAAGATGGTCCACGTGGATCAGCTAGGAGTCCCAGGGTGTTCATCACACAAGTACACCCTGACAAGGGACAAAAAGGTTTGGAACCCAGCCCAAGCTCCCCTCAAAAGAACCAAGAACTTGGCTGTGGCTTTGGAAGAAGAGGTACTGTCCTGCCTATGGCGTCCTCTTCCATACTGAACCAAGGACTTAGGGCTCCTGTCAATGGAAGGCAGAAGAGCTGGAAGCTCCCGGTCCTACTTCCACGTTACCTGGCTGGCTCTGGCTGACTCACTCACCTCGGATGAGGAAGTAGCCTCCCACGATGAGCACCAAGCCAATGGGGGCCAGCACGAAGCCAGCACGGTAGCGGTAGTTCTTGTAGCCCACGAAACAGATGCCACTCACGGAATCTCCATCTACCTGGAGCAGGACGGTTCGGAAGGAAAGTTAGTTCCTGCCCTTCCTCCAAGCTCGCCCCTTTCAGCCGCCCCCACTGCCACCACTCACGATACCTGGGCCACAGCGAGGATTGCCACAGTGAGGACAAAGGGGAGTGACCATGTGAGCAGGTGGAAGTAGGAGGTCTTGCCTGAGAGAGGCTGGTAGGTGGTACCCAGGGCTTTGAAGGAAGTGTGCCAGGCATAGGTGAGGACCACGAACCAGACCACTCCAGCCATCAAGGCATAGTACACGATGACGAAGATGATGACACAGGACAGGGTCTCGCTGGAGCTGTGAAGATGTGGGAGGTCACTCTTCTGCCAGGTTGCTCCACCCTGCCCAGGTCCTAGTCTACTGAAACGCGGAGGGCGGGCTCCCGGGAGTTTAGGACACAGGCCAGATGTGAAGAGGCTCTAGAGCACATCTCTTTGAAGAGACAGTGACAGTTTCGGTGCTGAGACTAAAGCCATGGTCTCAACACTGAACACAAGAAGCCAGTGCTAAATCCTACCCAGAATGGTCATTACAGTCTTTCTCCTCCCATCCTCCCCTCTGGGTCCCCAAAATACTTACGTGGGTTCCCCAAATCTCATGGTGCCATCTGCTCGGCAAACAATCTCCCGACGGGCACCATCCATGAACTGGGCCAGCCAGCCAATGCTGCCCACGAAGAAACATGCATTGACATAGAAGAGAATAACCGCAGGGTAGCGATTGGAGTTCCGCCAGTCAGCCACAAAGGTGGCCTAAAGGGAGAGGCAGCCGTGCAGTGACGTGAGGGTTTGTTCCGCTGCAGATGCCCTGATCTGAACCCAAGACCTCCCCAGAATCTTCCATGGGTACCCTACCGAGCAACTCCGTTCTAGAGTCCCTGCGCCTCGGGCTGTCCAAAGTCCCAGGCCCTTGCCCTTGAACACGGCTCACCAGTGTGAAGAGTGTGCAGAGGCCTGTGACCGCCCCGAAGGACGCAATGTAGCTGTGCATGTCCTGGTGTTCGGCCTCGGTGTAGAGCGGGTTCTGGCACTGGATCCCACAGCCCTCCACATCCTCGTACCAGCTCTTGGGGTTGTCTGTCCGCACCAACGGGGCTTCACACTGGCCTGAGCTGTTGAACTTGATGTTCTGTACCTCGTTCTGGCACAGGAGAGGAGAAAGGAAACGCCGAGGGGAGACGGAAGTCAGGGTTGAGGCTCTCGTTTGGGAAACCCGGCAAGAGCAGGTATGCTAACTGGACATCTACCTGCTGCTCAATGGGTCTACAGCCTTGGACAAATTATTTGACTACTCTGTATCTCATTTTCCACATCGGAGAGAGTAGCTCCTACCTCATGATAGGGCCTAAGGATTAGGTTGAAGTTCCTACAGTGGTATTTGTATGTAGAAAATGATAATCAGTATCATCGTTATCATTCTGTTCTCACTTCAGATGTCCCTTTTCCAACCCACACTAGCTCACAGCCTTCTATCTTCCTGTTTCCAGTGCTTTATGTATGTATGCCCTGACTCCTATTTATAACAAAAGTCCCTGAAGACAGTGTTCCGTAATGGTGAACACTCAAGAACCATATGCTGAACTTAGTTACCTCGGGTCAACAGAGAAGCCTTCACAGAGACCCAGACAGTAGGTTACAGCTTGTGTGTGTGGTTCATGTGTTTTGTGACTACAGACCCAGGGTCTCCTAGGATACCCTGTATTCAGGTCAATGTCGCTCTATTCCAGGTTAGATCAGGCTAGACCACCCTATCTTGCCCCCATAGAGCACTTACTGGGCAGCCTTCAGGGAAATGGTCCGGGGTGCAACGCAGGAAGTCAGGCCACCCTCGCTCCCGCTCCACGATGGCACAGGGGCCTCGGGTGGCCTGGCAGAGGGTGCGGCTGGGCAGCTCCACTCGGTCATTCTCACACTTGGGCATGTAGACAGCACATAGCAGAGGCTGGATCACTGCCCAACAGCGGGGGGCATTCCGGAGGCCTGGGAAATGGTGACAGTGTGGGTACACTGCGGCGAAGACCTCCTCCACACTGACCCACTGATACAGCTGAAGCCCCTGTTTCTAAACCTTTGCCAGAGCATTTCTCAACAGGACACCTGGAGAGAGCACTCTTGGTGCTCCAGGCCTGCCCCATGCGTTGCAGGACACCTAGAGAGAGCACTCTTGGTGCTCCAGGCCTGCCCCATGCGTTGCAGGACACCTAGAGAGAGCACTCTTGGTGTTCCCGGCCTGTCCCATGCATTGCAGGACACCTAGAGAGAGCACTCTTGGTGTTCCCAGCCTGCCCCATGCGTTGCAGGACACCTGGCACAACTAGACTCTGCTCTCTAAATGCCAGCAAAACCCTGAGGTCACGGTGACAACAAAGATACGCACTCCCAACTCCAGAGATGTCAACTAAAAGACAGCCAGAAGAGAAGGGCCAGAATCGCTGCACACGTAGTCTAACTCTTTAAAAAAAAAATAATTTTGTAAGATGTATATATTTTATTTTATCTTATGTGAGGGTCTTTTGCCTGCATGTTCACACCATGTGTATCCTGGTGTCTACAGAGGTCAGAAAGGGCACTGGATCCTCTGGAAATGGAGCTACAGATGGGTGCGAGCTGCCATGTTGGTGCTGGAGTTGACCAGGGTCCTCTGCAGGAGCAAGTGCTCGTAACTGCTGAGCCGTCTCTCCAGCCCCACATGGTCCCGTTCTTGATTAGATGTTGGTTACATGAGTGTACTCACTTTGTGCAAGTCAAACTTGGGGCTCATTCACTATTGCCGACACTACGATTCACTTACCAGTTCTTAAAACAGCTGCCACTTTGGAATACCCTGTTGAGGGGTGGTAGGCCTCTGACTGAGCCCCAGGTGGGGGAGTGACTAAACCCTTCCCTAGGCCTCTCTGTCCCAATACAGAAGGGCTGTGATCCATTCACCAAAACCAAGAGATGTTTCCCCGTGCCCAGCTCCCAGAGCCCCTTATCCTCTTACCAAGCCGAGGCAGAGAGAGAAGAGATGGGGGTTTAAGAGGAGGTACTCAGGGGAGCCAGGAACTCCAGAGCCAGAGGAGGAAACAGGTCAGATGGAGAGAAACAGAAGAGGCTCTGTCCAGTGCACAGGGAGGAAAGACAGACGCTGTCAGCACAGACACACAGATGTCTCCCCAACCCCCAACCCAGCCTAGGTGTTGACATGCTCATCCCAGGTCTCAGCTTGCTGTTTTCTGCCCTCCTGAACCCCTCTAAAAACATCCCTACTTTGGGAACACCAACATTCCAGGCAAAAAGTTGTACTCGGAGAATCTTCTGAGGGCATGAGAGCCACTGTGGATAGCTGTCCCACTGTCCGCCTAGGGATGGTGGGGCAGGCAACCATTCTCTTGGGGAGGGGCAGAGCAATGGAGCACAGGAGTAAGGGGTATGGACATTGTGATTGGCCTGCCTGGGTCCATATCTTGGCCCCACCACACCCTGGCTGTGTGGTCTGGAACAAAGTACTTTACCTCTGGCCTCAGTCTCCGTATCTGTAAAATGGAGATGACAGATTTACATGGTGGGACACTGGGCGGAGTGAGAAATGGTATAACATATGTATTTTGCACAGTACCTATCAGGGACTAACAGAAAGACTAGCTGTTTCTAGTACCAGTCCGAGGCCTACCCTCAGGCTTTACAGCTCCAAGAATACTCCAAGGTGCCAAGAAAGGTCCTGCCAGTTATGATGTAATATCCTCCTCTGATGCCAGCCACCACCACCTGGGAACCTTTATCACCTCGAGGGAAGACCCAGTGGGGAAACTCTGAGCCCGCAGCTTTCAGTGGCAAACAGAGCTGTCGGGAGGCCACTGTAAGGGGGCTGTGCAGCATGCCTTGGCTTGTGAGGAGGATGTGTCCCCTCAATCACATCATGAGATAAAGACATACTAAGAAGAAAAGGCATTTAGAATCCTTGAACAACTGAGCAGTCAGGTTTAACAACACAGTATGCTGTGTGTAGCATGTTGAATATCTCCCCCACGTGATCAAAGGGTTGAGTTGGGACTGTGGCTAATGGCTGCTGCCCAGCATCTGGAAAGAAAAGTCAGACCACATAGTGCTAGCCTGGGAAAAGATCCAAATTCAAAAGTAGCAGCATAATGTCTATTTAATGCACGTCACTTCTGCACCATCCTTCAGACAAAAAGTTGTTTCAGCTGAACCACTGTAAACCGGGCTGTCTGCTTCCATGCGGATTGGGAGTCGGTGAGATGGCTCAGTAGGTAAGGAGCTTGCTACCAGGTCTGGCAACCTGACTTTGAATTCTGCAGCCACACAGTGAAGGAGAGAACCAACTCTCTTAAGCTGCCATATGATTGCCACATGTCCACCATGGCACGGGACACACATACATCTGCACACGTTCAAACACATGCACTCACACACACACACACACATGCACAAATAAATAATAAAACATTGTTTAAAAAAGAAAATAGGCCGGGTAGTTGTGGCACATGTCTTTAATCCCAGCACTTGGGAGGCAAGCAGACTTCTGAGTTTGAAGCCAGCCTGGTCTACAGAGTGAGTTCTAGGACAGCCAGAGTTACACAAAGAAATGTTGTCTTGAAAAAAATAAAATAAAATCAGATGAGATCATTTTCCATCATGAATATGGTGACTAGTCACACAACTTTATGCTTTCTATAAAACAACTGTTTTGTTTTTGTTTTTCCAGACAGGGTTTCTCTATGTAACAGTCCTGGCTGGCTGTCCTGGAACTAGCTCTGTAATCAGGCTGGCCTTGAACTCACAGAGATCCACCTGCCTCTGCATCCCAAATGCTGGGATTAAAGGCGTGCGCCCCCATCGACCAGCATAAAACAGTTTTTATTATCACACAACTATGCTTTCATCTAAACTCACAATACTGCAAAAGAGAAGCATGGGGCTGGGGTGCACCTCAGTTGGTGAAAGATGCCTGTCTAGCACAAAGTCCTGCGTTTGATCCTCAGCACCAGATAAACTGGGCCTAGTGGTGCATGCCTGTAATCCCAGCACTAGGAGGAGTTCAATTTCATCCTAGACAATAATACATACAAAGTCCAAGGCTAGCCTGGGATATATGAGACCTTGTCTTAAAGGGGGTGGGGAGGAGGATTTTATGGAATGTTTATTAAGTAATATATTTAAAATACAAAAGGGGGGGAGTATCAGGCAGTCTTTTTTCTAATTTTAAATATTTTATTATTTCACACTTTAAAAACAAACTATCCAGGGCTGGAGAGATGGCTCAGTGGTTAAGAGCACTGGCTTCTCTTCTAGAGGTCCCGAATTCAATTCCCAGCAACCACATGGTGGCTCACAACAATCTGTAATGAGATCTAGCGCCCTCCTCTGGCATGTGGTCATACATGGAGGCAGAGTGTTGTATACATAATAAATAAATCTTTAAGAAAAAAACTATCCAAGGAATTTTTTGTTTGTTTGTTTTTGTTTTTCGAGACAGGGTTTCTCTGTGGTTTTGGAGCCTGTCCTGGAACTAGCTCTTGTAGACCAGGCTGGTCTCGAACTCACAGAGATCCGCCTGCCTCTGCCTCCCGAGTGCTGGGATTAAAGGCGTGGGCCACCACCGCCCGGGTAGGAATTTTTTTTTTTTAAGACAAAATCTTACTATGTAGCTCCGGCTGGCCTGAAACTCACTAGTAGATCACCAGGCTGCCCTGAAATCCACCTTTCTTTGCCTCCCAAGTGCTGGGATTAAAGGCTTGTGCCAATAGGGGAAAAGTCTCTCCCCAACACACACACTCTAATTTTTTTTTAAGTTTTTTTTTAGATTTATTTATTTGTTTGTTTATTATGTATACAACATTCCTTCCATGTATGCTTGCATGCCAGAAGAGGGCACCAGATCTCATTCTAGATGGCTGTGAGCCACCACGTGGTTGCTGGGAATTGAACTCAGGACCTCTGGAAGAGCAGTCAGTGCTCTTAACCTCTGAGCCATCTCTCCAGCCCTCCAATTTTTATATAAAAGAAAATTCCAGGGGCCAGAGATGGGTTAGTGGTTAAGAGCACACATTGCTCTTGAAGGGGACCTAAGTTTAGTTCCCACATTAGGCAGTCACAAACTCTAGCACTCCAACTCCGGGGGAATGTTTCTCTGGCCACCCTGGGTACTTGCACTCATACACGTGCGTGCGCACACACACACTAAGAATTAGTAATAATAAAAATTTTTAGAGAAAATTCCAGGTGGGTCAAAAGTAGCTACAATATTTTAAAAATTAAAGTAGTAGAGGAAAAGATGAAAAATACAGGGGTATTATTTGTTTTGTGTGTGTATGGTATGTGTGTATGTGTGGTGTATAAGTATATGTGGTGTGTGTGTGTTTATATGTGGTGTGTGTATGTGTGGTGTGCGTATGTGTGTGCATGCCTGTGTGTTTGAGTCTGGAAACTGGAGGTCAACATCAGGGACCTTCCTCCATCACTCTCAACCTTACTTTTGTCTCTAAAACATTTTTGCATTTTTACTGTGCTGCTGGGGGAGGGGCTGTGCCTGGGCACACACAAGACTGGGACTTGGTTTGGTTGAGGACGACTTTTGGAACTCTGTCCTCCCTTCCACCATGTGGTCCTGAGCACTGAACTCACGTCCTCAGACTGGGCAGCAAGCTCTTACTCACTGAGCCATCTCACCAACCCTGCTCTTTATTTTTGAGGCCCAGAGTTCGTTGATTTGGTAGGCTGGCTGGCTGGCTCCTAAGCCTAAGAATCCTAAGGGATCTGCCGTCATATTTCCCCAGTGCTGGGATCACAGCAGTGGCCTCCAGGTCTAGATTTTTACACAGCTGCCGGGAATCTGAAGTGGGGTCCTCACAGCTAGCACTTTCCCGCTTGGTTATTTCTCTAGCAGTGGGGTCTGAATGAGAATGGCCCCACAGGCTCATACATTATTCTCTAGTTGGCAGAACTGCTTGGGGAGGGCTGGAGGCGTGACCTTGTTGGAG